AAGAAAAGATGTGACTTTGGCCATATTTGGGCAGTTAATCAAGAAAGTCGCGTTGCCCTGCTGACCCATCTTTGTCACTATACTATTGCGTTCACAATAGTAGTCGGTCACTTTGTCTTCTTAGACAACCCTTAAAAGGATGCCGGTGGCCTCGGACCCTCTAGTCCTCCAGTCCCCACTGTGGCACTGTCTCTAGGACAACCCATGGGCAAATGGTGTCTATAGAAGGGGGGAGGGAATCATACAGTGAGTGCTCTTGCTCATTTTTGGAAATTGAAAATAAGATCCTCTCCAGGAAAATCTGGAACTTTAGACCAGTGGTTCACAACCTCCCTAATGCCGTGGCCCTTTAAGACAGCCTCATGTGGTGGTAACCAGCCCCCAACCATAAAATTATTTTTGTTGCTACTTCATCACTGTAATTTTGCTACTATTATGAAACGGGCGGCCCCTGTGAAAGGGTCATTCGAGCCTCAAAGGGGTTGCGATCCACAGGTTGAGAATCTCTGCTTTAAAGCATCCATTTTGGACCACTGGCTACTTCCTTTGCTGCCCACCCGCATGTTGCATGCACATCTCTCATCCCACAGACTTTGCTGATGGGCAGCGAAAACCTCCTGGCAGTTTGTACTCACCTTGAACTCTGAATCCAGGACCCAATGATAAACAACAAAAGATGAGCATGTGATTGTAGAAGGCTTGAAGGCCTGGTGTCCCAGAAACTTGCAGAGGGCTACATGATGGATAGGTCACAAGGACTTGTATTAAAGCCCAGAAGGGAACCTCTTAAACAAGGACCTTTGGTGGCCCACAGTGTGAAGTCCCTGGTGCTACAATATATTCGTCTTATGTTGTCAGGGTTCCCTCGGGGCCCGTGGACAGTGCGAGTGCGCCCTGCACCGGCAAGGACAGGATGCTGCCAGCTTCAGTCCCGGGGCCTTACCAGAGTTGTTTTTCGAGCTGTTATGAAAATAGAGTGCTGAGTTCATTCTCTTCCTGTTCCCTTTGTGGTAAAAAAACAAAACAAAAACCAAGTGTGTTTGAGCCAACTGTAGCAATAAAGTGTGGCCTGGGGATGTGGGGCATGGCTCTTTGGTGGGAAGTGATCCAAACTAAGTGACGTGTAGAAATTCAATTGATCACGTCTGCTCTGCCAGTCTACCCAGAGGGCTCCAAAAACCACCCCTTTACCTGACAGTGCCCCTGAAGATATGAGCTTTGATCTCCTAGACAGTGTGGATAAGGTGTGCAGACTTACCAGCTATCTACTTTGGGGTCATCCCTGTGCCTCCGTTTCCAAATCTTCAAAAAGATACAGGAGTACCTATCTCATGGAATTATTTTGAAGATTAAATGTGGCAATCACTTGAACTTGTGCCAGGCACGTAGTTCACAGTGATCAATGCTAATTGTCACTAGTAATTTCTTCTTCAGATTATGGTTGACTCTTCCTACCATGAGTTTTGGGTTGTCCTGTTAGGTGGGTTATTGTATACTAATAGATATTTAATGATAAATAATTTTATAGGTCTTATAAATGGATTATTCTGTTTAGAGTTATTTTTGGAGTCATCAAATCACTTTCTAAATGCCCTCTCTTTTTGAATACAGTTGTTCAGTGCACTCAACAAATATTTATTGAGCACAGATAATAAACCAGACTCTTCAAGACACTGGAAAATTAATGGAGGACTTGGGTAGTATCCTTATCCTCACGTGGTTTATGGTGTAGTGAGAAAGACAAGCTATTGATGAGAAAACAAGTAAATAAACATAATAGTAGATAGTAGTATAAGGAGTCCTAGTGGTACCACAGCTACTACCTGAAGTTGGTGGTTCGAACCTAACCCCTGGCTTCACCAGAGAAATATGTGCCAATCTGCTGCCATAGCAATTGCAACGAAGACAGCCTTTGGGGCCAGTTCTACTCTGTCCTGTGGGGTCACTCTGAGTCAGAGTCAACTTGATGACGCCCAACAATAACAACTAAGTAAACCGAAGAAAATATAACAGGATAGTGTGATGGGAAGTCATCATAGATAGAATGGCCAGGACAAGGATCTCTGAAAGATAGGAAGGAACCACCGGCATTGTCCATGGTGAAGAATATTCCACCTCAAAGCAGCATGACTTGGTGCAAGGGCCTCAGGTGGGAAAATGTCTGAATGACCAATGGACAGAAAGAAAGTCGCCAATGGTGAAAACAGAGCGCTTTCGTCTCTTTAAGAATGTTGAGCATGGACGTTTACACCCCTGCCCAAAGTTGTAGTCAGGGGTACAATTAAGACTTGAGCTCCAAACAGACCCATTTCTACCTTAGTCAGGACACCTTTGCCAACCTTGGACAGCTTGGTCTACTTTATTTTTCCTTTTGATTTGGGAAGGTCAGTGCAACAGAAGTAATATAATGGGCTCATGCGTCTTGGAAGAAGGAAAGGCAGCCTGCTTCGTAGAGGCAAGTATGACAGGAGAGACCAGTCCCTGCAGAAGGACATCGTGTTTGGTAAAGCAGAGAGGCCGTGAAAATGAGCAAGGCCCTCGACAGGATGGATAGACACAGTGGCTGCAGCAATGAGCTGAGGCCTAGGGACAATTGTGAGGAGGGCCCAGAACCATTCAATGTTTCATTCTGTTGTGCAAAGGGTCGCGATGGGCTGAAGCCGACTCCTCGCTGGCGCCTACAACAACAACAACAACAACACGGGCTCATCCTGCAGTTTCCCAGTTATCAACTCATGACCAATTTTCACTTTTTAATCCTTCATTTCAATGCAGCAACACTTCCTAAGCACTCCTTTGCGCCCCATAGTTGTACTTGATAATTATGTGAAAGTAAAGGAGGCGCATTCGTTCATTCACTGCTGACAGTCTCGGAGTGGAGGTGCACCTATGCGACAATGATAAGACAGCTGAGACCAACAAGTGTCATGAGAACACAGCGGAGAGAGAGCAGTGCTCCTCTGGGAGGTGGAGAAAGGGAGGGTGGGAAAGACCACGGAGTGAGCCGAGACTCGAAGTGGCTCGGAGGAAACAGTAAGTCTAGATGGGCAAAGACTAGACACGTAGGGGCCACAGTACTCAAGTTTGCAGTATTTGCAGCAGTGGTTCTCAACCTTCCTCATGCCGCGACCCTTTCATACAGTTGCTCGTGTGTTGGTGACCCCCACCCGTAAAATTATTTTCGTTGCTACTTCATAACTGTCATTTTGCTACTGTTATGAATTGGGCGACCCCTGTGAAAGGGTCATTC